CCCCCCCCCCCGCCAAAAAAAAAAACAACAACAAAAAACCAGCTGCTGGAAATTGCAGGCTGCATTACATATGAGAAATATGGTAAAAGCAACTTCTGCCTTACTGAGCAAAAGCAAAAGTAAAATCTGCATGTAATTTATAGGGCACAGAACAATAAGCAGGCTCGGACCCCCAGCTGCTGCTACTCATTTGCTTACAAGGAGAGATCGCGCTTTCTTCATTCTTCCTTTCAAAAATAATGTGTGTATTTTATTCTGGGCCATGTTACAGGTGAGCAAATGGGGTACTCTTTAGGGGCCAGGAAGTGCTTGGACTTGTTGCTCATATACTATCCTGTCTTGCACCGAAGCAATTTCCAATAATGCCCGTGCAGGGGAAATAGGTCTCTCTCCCCTGGCAGATGTCTGACAGCCAACAAAACAGTCGTGGGCTTCGCTCTCTGTCTATCTGCTCGGGGTCTCCATAGAGGGACATACCAGTAAGAACAGAGTACCTGGCTTCTAACCCAGCGACCTCCCAGGAACAGTGCAAGGTCTCATCATAGGATGCTCCCAGACCCCCCAAAAGCTAGGATGAGAGACCAAAGACTCAGCTCCTCAAATGACACTGTGGGTGGCGGGTGCACCCCCCTCCTGGGCACCCCAGAACTCACCTTCCACCAGCAGGAAAAATCCTTTGGGGTTTTTCTGGAGGATCTTGATGGCCACCTCCACCATCTCAGTCAGGGAAGGGTCCGTTTGGTTGTTCCTGTCCAGTTCGTACATCAGGTCGACTGGCTCGAAGAGGCCTGAGAAGGAGATGGATGCTTTGGGGAGGTCGTGAATGGGACCAGAACTGAGGAGCTGGCTCACACTGTATCTGGGGGTTGGACTAGATGACCAACCCCAATTTTCTAGGATTTTCTATGATCTGCACATCCCTCACACCAGAGCCAGCTGCTGGGATGGGGGAAGACCCGTGTGACCTGGCTCCCAGATGCCCAAACAAGGGGCACTGCTGCTGCCATGCTGCAGATTCGCCAGACCCAACAGGCTGAGAGGTAGGGCAACGCCTCTTCCTTCTGCATTTCCACCCACAGCTTCAGGTAGGATGCAGAAGGCTGGTTGTCTTGTGCCCCACTTCCCCATTTGTGGCACAGCTACCAGCTGATGGGAAATACCAGCTGCAGCAGCTTTTCCGACCCTGTGCTGGTGCCACTTCCCCACCCCTCTCTTCTGCCTGGGCCAGCCAAGCCGAGCCCTCCATGCTTTGATGCTTGACACATTTGCTATTTGCCATTCAGCAGACAGCTTTCTCCCGGTGATCTGACAGCCCAGGCTGATACGGGCAGATCTGCCCAGGCAGGCGCTGGCATGGCCACTGGAGGTGGTTTCGGGTGGGAGCTAGCCAGTTTGCCCAGCTCGAGTACCTAGGGCACAGGGGGCTGGTTCCCCGCAGGGCCAGCGTGCCCCCTTTGCTGCAGGCCAGAAGAGCCGAGCGCTCCTCCCGGCCCGCGGTGGGTTCCCCCCTCAAGCTGGTGGCTGGGACAGATGCAGACTCAGATCCGACGGTCCTACGCCCGCTTCCCCACCAGGTTAACCACTGGTCCCGCTGCGCTGAACTTTGATCTGCTGCTGTTTTGCTCCGATGGCCCCACGCCCGCTTCCCCATCAGATTAACCTCTGGTCCTGCTGCGCTGGACTTTGATCTGCTGCTGTTTTGCATTAGCCATGTAGCCTCCAGCAGTGCCCCCTCCGCTTCCTGCTTCTGACCTGCTGCTCATGCTGGCTCCGGGGGAGGGTGGTCCTAGGGATGCTGTTTCTAGGCCAAAGGATCACCAGGTGGTGGCACACCTGGACTCAAGCCTGTGTGCCGAGAGACCTAGGCTGGCCGCAAAGCTTGCACCAACTTGCCCAGGGTTTTAGGCAGCGGCTCTGGGGAGTGCGGAGGGGAAGGCGCCCATCTGTCGAAAGCTTCGGCAGCTCTGCAGGGAGCACAGCCTGCAGGGCCAGATGCTTTGCACAAGCTGGATGTGAAGCCAACAGAGAGGCGCTTCCAGTGGAGATGTTGCTGTTTGCCTCTCCCAGCGGCGCCGCATGCGTTTGCAAACAAGCTGAGAAGCTCAGCTGAATTGCTGGAAGACACCGATTTCCTGCACTATTAGGTCCCTATGCTCATTTAAAAAAAGGGATCGTTATCTTTGATCACTGGGGGCAGTCACTGAAAACAAACACACAAAAAACCCCCTCCAGAGGTCAGGGAAGCCATGAGACAGGCTTGTGCACACATGCACACCCACAAACACACCCACGTACCAACACACGCTCCGTGTGTGCACACCCCTATGTACTCCACATGCATAGACACTCACACACGCATGCACAGTGTTTCTGCACATCTCCTGGAGGAATTCTTCTATGCCCTACTCTGACGGATCACACCCCTGCAAGGATCAGGCTCTGTTTTAACCGGCAGCCTCTTGCCTTTGCTTTAAGAAGTCATTGTCAAGCTGAGCTGTGAGTTTAGGCTGGCCAACTTGATCATCCCAGCCAGTGCAGTAGCCTTTTCCAGGAGCAGCAGCTAGCAGGCGTTGGGTCTAGTTTAAAACTTCTGGGATTAGGGAGCACAGCTCAGAAGGACTTCATACTGAGCTGATGCATGGCACGTCCCGGCAGAAGGCTGCAGCTCTGAGAACCTCTCCCCAAAATGCATTCCCGGCCGCTGGGTTAGGCCAGCACTGGCTTTGATCATTGTTTTCCAAAACCACTGCTGCTGGCACGGCAGGGTAGGGACTCACGCAGCCCCGCTGGCTGAAACCAGAGCAATGTGCCCGCAGTCATTGGCATGGTTTTCTAAGCGCACGTTGCTGCCACGTCAGACACGGCAGCAAAACACTGGCAGGCTGGGACTGCAAAATGAGTCTGACAAGTTCACAGCTGAAGAGGAAGCCAGCCAAAAGGACTGGCTAACGAGAATCACGAGGAGTACCCCTTCCACCCCCTTACGCGCCAGGCAACGGCAAGGAAACCAGACAGGCAGGGCACCAGCTCCACGCAGCCAGGATGCTCGGACGAGCATCACAACCCGGACTGCATGGGATTAAGGGCCCCTCAACTGCACAGAGGCCCCCGCCAGAGCCCTTTGCAGCTATAACACGGGTCCCGGTCTGGAAGAGGCCAAGAATCACAGCCATGCAGAACGAGCAGCCTGCCTCAACCTGGCCAAGCCACAGACATCCGCTGCAGACTTGTGGTTGCGCTCTGGCCTTGACATGCATGGCTGGACGCATATTAACAGCAGCTGCACTCACGCTACCGGGGAGACCCTGCACGAGCTCTTAGTCTTTGCCGGGCTTGGAGGCTTCTCAGTGTCAGAAGTCCCCCTGGAAAGGAAACCTGCAACCAGCCTGGTGTCCATCTCCTGTTAGTCCTCGCTGCATCAAAGGGTCAACTCCAGCCCACCTACTTAGTTACCCAGCTGTTCCTCAGCTTCTGTGCATAGCACGGCATCTCCCAGCCCCGCAGCCGGCATTTCTGGGGTGTGACTGGTCCGACGGTGCTTGAGACACGAGGCAAAATGTCCCCTGGTGCCACTAGATATAGCCAGGTCACCTCCAAGGTGGGACACTAGCACCGTATGCGCACAGCCACCCATGGGCATCTTACCTTTGGATACTCACCTAGGAGGAAGTCTACTTTGTTCAGGTCGAGAGCCATCAGGTCCTGGCGATTCCAGACGTAATGGGCGTTCTAGGAGGGAACGGAAGAGCACCGTGACCAGGTATTTCCCCACACGCGTTGAACACGCACACAGCATTTGCCATAGCCATCAGGTAAACGCCTCCGCATCACCCCAGACAATCTTGCCGTCATGAAAGTTGGGCGACTGTGCCCTCTTTCATATATCACAGCACAGGGACTTAAATGCTCGATGAATAGTCAGCATCATAATCTTAAATGCTCGTATTCCCCTAGCTCCTAAAGCACTTCACAAACACCTTATAAGCTCTTGCGGGTCGTACAGCACCTAACACTGTGGTCTACAGGTAGAAATATCACACAGTAACCGATGCACATGGCACGCAAACAACAGCACGGAAATGCAGCCAGCTCTGGGGTGTGGACAAAGCCACAAGCCCCACAACAATGTCACAGGGAATCTGTAGGCAAGTAGTGGGATGAGATGGGTAGTGCGTGCACAGATCAGATCTTTTATTCTCAGGGACTGTTGCGAAGACAAATAACGCACCCAGCACTGGCCTGTCTCTCCTGAAGACAAGAGTACAACTCTCCTTGGCTTCAAGGGTATCAGATCTGGAACATGGCCAAAAGTTTGTGAACATGCCACACACCAAGCTTCGCTCCGAGCCAAGTTTTACAACCCTGAGATGAGGCTTAGATCCAGGAGAGGGTTCAAGGCAAAACGCTGAAGTTCAGGTTCGGATCGGACAGCGCAAAATTGCCCCCCACAACGTGCTGCTAGCCCAGGGTGGGAGAAGCCCTAAAGGCCCGCAGTGAACTGGCTCTTTGCTGCCGTTCCCTGAGCACTTGCATACTCGGCCCCTCGGGGGTGGAGAGACAGGGGCTGAAGCTCCGCTGGCGTTGCCCCATCTCTCCTGATCGGGGCTTGTAGCAGCAGTGCCCCGCAGATCGCCAGCGCTCAGGCAGATGTACTTTCGAGCATAATCCCCCAATCAGATTCACCTGCGCGGTCACTGTGTTAGGAGGGAAACGAGCCCTTCCCTGCCTCCCATCTTCACAAGAGAAGCAACGGGAGACTTCCAGCAGCTCGGCGGTTCAGCTCAGCTCAGACGCTTCCCCTCATCTTCTTGGCCTGGCTTAGGCCATCAAGCAAGACGATGGCCCTAATCAAGTCAAGACTCAGGCCAGCTTGACCCTCTCCAGTCAAACCATACGCAGAACACCGATCCCACGGTGCACGAGGAGGAGACATGTCCTTCCAAAGATGGAGGTGAAGCCTGGTTGAGCTCTTCCAGCTGGAGCGCAAATGGCCCTTCTCAGCCAGCTCGGTCTCCCTCCGGATGCCCTGTGCTAGCAGGATCCTGCCAAGGGCATGCCTGCCCGCCTCCCTCCTGCCGAAGCAGCATCCGTGCCACGAGCACGGACATCGGAGAAGCTCCCTTCGGGTTGTGTAAGCAGCAGCAACAGAATCCCTTTGAGTCCCCGGGCAGCCAGAATACACAGAGCCGCCCTCGCGTCACCTCAAACGATCCCTGTGGTTTGGGTCCCGGCGAAGCCCTACAGCAGGCAGAAACCAACGGGGGAGATGGTTTCCCTCGGATGCAGACTTCTCCCCTGGCTGTTCGAAGGCTGCCGTGTGTCGCCCGAGAGGCGCACACGATTCTGCGGTGGGCAGAGCAGCTCTTGAGCTCGCCCGTCTCGACGACCCTCGGGGATCTTTTGCAACTAACGGCACTAAGACGAAGGAAGAAAGAGGGGGTGCCGGAAGAAGTCTAGCGCCCAGAGCGAAGCTCTTGCGTGGAGGAGGAAAGGAGGCCACAAGGCTCACTGCAACTCTGCTGCTCAGCTCGAGGGGATTTGGCTTGGAGAAGAACAGCTGGGCACGAGACAGGGCAGAGCTGGTAACATGCCTCACAACAGCACTGAGACGCCCATTCAAGCTTTGCTCCAGACAGGTATTAAAAGCTGCTGCCAGCTGCCTCATTAGTGGACCTGGGAAGCCAAAGGTGACGGCACGATGCTGCCACCTCCCCCCCGCGCGCTGCTGAGCTTGCGGGGTGCCACAGCCCAACGGGCCCCCAGGCTGAGGCACCTCTCTCTGCCCCGGGTGCTCAGGGGTCATTTCCACATTGCTTCCAGAGCAGCCGGGGTTTTTCAAAGGCTCCTGCACACCAGATTATCCATTAGGTGGCATTCAGCTTCCTGTATCCTCTGCTGAGGCCCATCGTCATCCTGATGGATGCAAAACCGGCAGCAATTAAAGCTGAAGCCAATTAGAAATCTAACCCCGAAACAAAGTTTCAGCAACATCAAAGCCATTCAAACCGCAGTGGCTCGCCACTGTCTTCAGTGGTTTCAACCAGCATCATTTCCAGTCTCCCCGGTCCCCATCACTCCAGCCCTAACCGCCTCTCCCACCCCGGGCAGGAATTGGGACCCCAGGGTTGTTAGCAAGAGGCGGACTCCTCAATCCCAGAGCAGCGTGTGCACGAAATACCAGATGCATGGATCAGGCTGGGCAGGCCACGAGTCTGCCTGGGAGGTTGCATCCGCAGAGTTCATCTTTCAGCACTGGAGATGCCCGCCAGTTCGAAAGCAGGCACTCTGGAAAGAGGCAGGGAGGTCTAGTGCCTATGCGATTACGCACGAGGAGGCCCGAGCCCAGCTCTGCTGCTGATCCTGACCAAGCCACTGCCCCGCTTGGTGCCTCAGTTTACCTTCCTGTGCTTTATCCCCTTACTTCTGCTTGCGTTGGTACAATAGGGCCCAGATCCTGCACAGTCAAAAACCCTGGTGCACATAAAAACCCATTAGGGAGTCTTTGGTGCACATAACCAAACCCAGATGCACATAAAAAACAACTGGAAGCCTCCCTAATAAAAGCCAGTTAGGGAGATCTGCACAGGTCGGCCCTCGACCTAGAGAAAGGATGCCAACTGACAGCACCCTCCGTGTCACCAACGTGCACCAGCTGGGACCTCAGCAGCTGCCTCCCAGCAAAGGCACAACCACCCCAGGGGCCAGAGAGATAGCAAAGGGCTTCGTACGGTCAGACTCGGGGGCCTCCTTCTGGTAATGTCCCTGCTCTTATAGCGCCTTTCCTTTGGGAGGGTCCAGCATGCCAGCTCAGGAGCACGTCAGTCCTAACCCAGGCTCTGGCGCTGACTTGTTATTTGAGTCTCTGAACCCACCTTCCTCCGTTTCCCACTTCACTGCAGAGCTCACCATGTCTGCAGGGCACCCGAGGCTCTTCAGTCCAAGCGATGGTGCCGCGCTGAAGGCAAGCCGTCCCCTGACCCTGGAGGAGAGCTCCAACATGGCCACGCTCTGAACACATACGGGGTCATGCAAATGTAGGCACACTGGAGAGAGTCCAGGGGAGGGCAATGAAAATGGTTCAGGGCCTTGGGCACATGATGGATGAGAAGAGGCTGAAGAAACTGGGCTGATCTAGTCTGAAGAAGAGAAGGCCGAGGGGGATTGAATAGCAGCCTCCACCTCCCTGCAGGGTGGTTGCAAAGAGGATGGGGCTAGGCTGGTCTCAGTGAGGGCAGATGACAGAAGGAGCAATGGGCTCAAGCTGCAGTAAGGGAAGTTGAGGTTAGATACTAGGAAAAACTTCCTCATTAGGAAGGTAGTAAAAAACACTGGAACAGGCTCCCCAGAGAGGTGGTGGACTCTCCATCCTTTGGTTTCGAAGACCTGACTTGACAAAGCCGTGGCTGGGATGATGTAGTTGGGACTGGTCCTGCTTGGAGCAGGGGGTTGGACTAGCTGTGACCTCCTGAGATCCCTTCCACCCTCGCTGTCTATGATTTTAAGCAGGATTATTTCCCCGTCCAATTTTAGTAGGAATTTGACCTGGAGACTTTAAACATGCAGCTAACGCCCATCCAGCTGGACCCCTCCCCAGCCACGTAGCCGTCTGCCTCCCCCTTTACCTTGTCTTTAGGTTTCTTCTCTTTCCAGACACTGATGAGGGTTTTCCCGTCCAGGCGTGTGCCCCTGTACTTGTCTTCAGTCTGGTACTCCACGTCGGTGGTGTTCTTGGGGAACATGTACTTCCTGCCGCCGCCCATGATCACCTGGAGGAGGACGCCAAAAAGAACCTGGTTTCAATCGCGTGCGACATGGAAAGGAGCTGGTGGAGACCGACGGGGAGAGAAGATGCTTGGGGGAGCACTGCTGGTGGAAGAGAAATATCTGTCTTTCTTAAGGCAACATGCATGCCACAAGTAGCTTGGGCAGCCCCATGAGTCTGCCCCATGAGGCCTGGGTGCTGAGTTCAAGGGGGCGCTGGTGATGGGAGTCAGGGCAGCACTCAGGGAAGGGGCAAACACCAGAGCAGCGACTGGGGTGGAGACAGGAGTTGGGAGTCCGTGCTAGCTCAGAGGTTCAGCCCCCCAGGAGCTGCAGAGATAGGTGCCACCACTTTTAATCCCAGTGGCAATGGGTTTTGGTGGCATGGAGCCACGACACTGACAGGTTATTAGAGGGACACGGTCTCATAGCTTGGACGCGACTTGCAGGATGCTCACCAAAAAAGGCTGGCCAGAGTGGCCTTGGTGGTTCAGCTGCATCTTTAACCATTAATTTTGTTACTTGATAAGCTGGATTTGTTAATAAATCAAGCTCAAAAAGAAAAATTAACACGGTTCCCATTATGCCAGCCCAGAGCACAGCAGCGGGCAGGCAGGTTAAACCGATGGCACGGAGGTTTCCTGAAGCTCCTGTTTGTGGCATCACAGAGATGTAGCAGAGCTAGTGGTGCAGTCACAGGGTCAAGACTACTTAGGACCAAACTCCAGACCAAGGGAAGTTATATTGCTTCCCCGTGCCTCAGTTTCCCCCTAGGATGCCAGCCTCCACCTACCCCGTGTCTGCAGAACAGAACGAGGAGGGGTTAAGGTCTGCTTCTCTTGCCCATCCTTGCAACGACGGACAGTCACCAAGCCCCCTATCATCTCAGTCCAGCCTCCGCCACAAGAAAGCAGGCCCTGGACTTCGATAGCTGCTGGAGGGTTTATTTTCAAAGGGAAAATGAATCATCCGCCTGGACTTCATCCGTCAGAAGAGCCCAATGTTTGCATTGGCTGGTCAGAATAGTCCTTGTACTCAATGTTTCTGATGTGGTAAGGGCAGGGGGTGGAAAACAGGACTTACCCATGAATCCACCCCTTGGCCAAGTGCTGGTCAGAGCACGCAGCTCCCCGTGGCCACTGGTGGGCTCCTACACGCCATGGGAAAATACACTCGCCGCCACAGTACCAAGGGACAGGGCGAGCGGCAGACAATGTGGCATGAGAGAGGGACGTGGCTTCTGCAGTGATCAGGACCCGAGGGGAAATAACTCCAGGGCCCCAGACAAACAGTCCTTTGTGCTGGAAGTGGCAGCCCACTGTGCCAGACTGCAGAGATGCCCGTAAGGGACGGGATGGCGGGGCAGTCGGCACAATTGATCTTGATTTTTGGGGGTGCTTCTGACACAGTGCCACATGGCGAGCTCCTGAACAAGCTCAGGAAAGCATGGCCTAGGGCTATGAAGGCCAACCCTTTTAACAGGCGTGCCGCAAATGGTCTCCGTGCCCTCCCTGAGACCTACTCCAATCCCATTCCCCTGCCCGATCTGCTGCTCTGCTTTCTGCTCCCTGCCCTATCTCCTACTGTGCTGCCCGTCCCTTCCCAACCTGCCGTATGTCACACCCAGAGGCTGCAGGCTGGCCCCTGTGGTCTAGAGGAAGACACTAGGATGGATGCACGAGCGGTCAGTAAACCAAGCTAAAAGACCAGTTAACGGTGGTTTGCTGTCAAACCAGGAAGACAAATCCAAGGGCATCCCACAGAAGCCAGTCCTGGGTCCAACGCTTTTTCTTAGCATCTCAGAGCAGGGCTGGGCTGCCCGGCTGCGCAGCCCACAGGCTATCTGGGACCCATGAGGAAATCATCCGTGGCCCCCAGGCTCCCATTTGGCCACCAGTCCCTCCCTCTCTCTGCAGTCGGGGTCTCAGGCTCCCTCGCCCTCCCCTGGCTTTTGCTCTCCGCTTCCCCCCACCCCTCCAAGGCTGGCACAGCCCAGCCCACAGTGCCAGCAGAGCCTGTGGCACGGATGAGGAGGAGAAGTCATGGGGGTCTGATTTGCAGCAAGGGAGATTTAGGCAGACTAGTACCTAAACCTCTCTAACGACTGGCACGGTGAGGCACTGCAGCAGCTTATCTAGGGAGACCATTGCCGGGGTCTAAGAACTGGTTAGACAGCTTGTCAAGGAGCCTCCGGTGTCCTTGATCCTGCCTCTTTGCAAGGCGAGGAGTTTGCCGACCTCTCCAGGCCCCTTCAAGCCTTATATTTCCATGACGGTAACTGCTGCTGCCAAACAGCAAGAGCCAGATGCCACGTGCCAGCTGCACCAGCCCAGTCTCATTCCCAGGCCCCGCGTGCCATAAGAAGAGGGAACTAATGCAAGGTGTTGAGGGTATGCTCACATCCTCTCCCAGCAGCTCTCCAGCACACCTTGCTGTCCATGCCCATTTGCAAGCGCCAAGCCCTGGGGATGCCCCCACGGCCGCCCTCGAGACCACGAACTCCAGCGCATCAGAGAACGGCTGTGTGGCACCCAAGTGGCTTCACCACTGCATGCCCAGGCTTGGTGCATGGGAGCTGGGGGGCACGCGTGCGAGAGCAACCCTCTCCAAGAGCACCGGGGATGGGTGGAGTGACCTGTAGGGCCTCCCCACCCCAGAAACGCTCCGAGCAGGAAAATACAAGGCAGGTGTTTAACACACGGATACCGGGGAGGGCCCCAGAACCTCCTCTGTGGGGCGGAGGTAAACCCAGCGCCCAAGCGAGTGCCACGGCACTGCCTTCTGCACGCGCAGCCCCAGCCTGGGGGGCGTCGCTCGGCCCCACCTGGCCTCCCGAGCGCTGGGAGGTCCGGGCTGAGCAGCGAGGTCGACTCGCCTCCAGGCCACAGCCCTGTGCAAACAGGCCCCGCCAGCCCAAGCGTGCCCCCGGTACACACGGCCTGTTTATGTAAGGGGACGCGAGGCGCAGAGCGGGGTATTTTTAAAAGGACAGTGTTTGCTTTTGCTTGTCCCGGGTATTTGGTTTGCAAAAAAACCTGCTATTTTAAAACGAAGAGAGACACGCCAAGGCGCTGGCTTCCACACACGGATTCCAGTGTCCTTGGGACAAAGGGGAGATGTCCTTCCACACCCAGCCTGGGAACTAGAAGCACCTCGTCCCACCCAGACAGCTGCTTGCAGCCAAACTGAAGCGAGTCTGTTCAAGTCCCTGGGAAGAAGCTGGATCTCACGGAGGGGCCGGAGCCTGGCCCCAGGCCAGCTGGGCTCTGCCCGCCACGCTGCCACAGGCGTGCTGCTGCTATGTGACCTTGGCCAAGTCGCCTGGGCTGAGCACTGCCAGGCGGACGAGGCAGCCGTGCCCAAACCACCGCTCAAAGCCAGGAGAAAGGAGAGACTATGCCCTAGGAGAGGGAACTTTCCACCTACCCGGTCCCCGCCGTCGGCGACGGAGGCAGAGGAAACCCTTCCCTGCGGCAGCTCTCGGGTCTGCCGAGGCATCGGCCCAGCGGGAGAGACTCCGAAGCAAACCCGCTGCCCGCGTTTCAGGGGAAGAGTTGCCAGCTCCTCCTAGGGCAGGAGAAGTGGGTGCCCGGTTTGGCGAGCAGAGCTGATATGTCACGTTCAGAAATATTGTGCCCACTTGGAGAGTTGGACACATCTGGCTGTAGGGGTTTAGACGCTTCTTTTCCATGAGCACTAATTAAAGACCCTGTCACCTGCTTGGAAAACACACCTGTTTCTAGGCTATCAGCTAACAGGGGCCTGGGAGTCACTACTAACTATACAGGCAGACCAAGAGGAGACTGACCGTCACGGACCCCCGTTGGGGTTGCTCGGGAGTTCAGCTCCAAGGCCGTCAGCTCTAGGGCGCAGGGTTGATGGCTCCAGCCCTCCTCAGGGGAGCACTGAGCA